CAGTGTATGTATATAGTTAAGATGCAATCAAATAAAAATTCTTTTGTTACAAAGTACAAAGATGCAATCAAATTGCATCCCTCAGAAAATAAACATGAAAGTTATAATTGAGTATATAGTGAATTAGATGTTTGAAGTGTTTTAAATAATCAAGAATTTAACTATCTACATCACTATAAAAAAATTTGAGTTGGCATAATATTAGTTCCTCTCCATTAGTTAAGATTCTTTTTCTTTCATGCACAACGAAATTTTGTTTGGGTAATTTCATCATAGCACATGCATATTTTAGAGACATTATAAGTATATTTTCATTATTATACCAAAATTTCACTTCTATGATGTGTATTTCTTTCAATTAAGAATATTCATTCTTTTTGGTTCATATTAACTATATATTTTTTTATTTTAATATTACAAGCACACGTGAGGCGCGTATTATGCCCTTAGTATATGATATATGCATGATGATGACTACAACCATTATTAAAATTCAGTCAACGACCTTTCATTATTTTTAATTTGTTAGCCATATTGCAATTAGCAAATGGTAATTTCAATTGAAGTGACGTTGTAAACCTCAATATCTGTCCTACCACACATATGAGATGAAAAAACCCTCTTACAATTTCTTCCTCTCGATCGATGTGTTTTCAGATTAAACTGATCGATCTTCATATTTCTACTGTATTTTATTTGTTCTGAAATATGATTTTGGACATTTCAATACCATTTTAGCATGTTTTCAAAACCCCACTATGAGAGCAATAAAATAGAAACGAAAATATATAACGTGCAATCTTCATGTCACGCTCTCATTCATAATTATCATACGACCTAGCAATTTTACTTACTCAAATTTTTATACTCACATATTAGATTAGAACTCTGTGAAACAAATCAATATCACAAAGAAAACTGATTAAATATGACAAAGAAAAAGTATTAATTTTTAACTATTAAGGGTTGTATTTTTTATTTTTTTTTTGGAATAAAGATTATTTTCATTCCATTTTCAAAATAGCAATTTCAAACTTCATATACAAAACTGAAATAAAGCATCACCTAGATGTTCCTGAACAAGACAACACCACAAACCTAGCTACCAACTATTACAAAGATACAACGTTGTTTTATCTAGAGAAAGTTGGGTTGTATGGTTGTTATATTACAATATGACTATTGTTGATCTTGAAGCTATTTTTCATTGCACGTTTGATAGTGTAGAACCTCAGTTATCTTTCACAATCCTTTTTCTCTTTTTTTTTTTTCCTTCTTTTTTATTAAAAAAAAAAAACGAAATCGGAGTGGGAGTCAAATGTATATTGCCATGTATTACATTTTTCAAGAGTGTAACAACTAACACCCACTACACCATACTTTAACCAAATTTTAGTCCCAGTTGGTGAGTCTATGTATTATAAATCTTAAATCCTGTACACGCTCGTGGGTTTCTCTGTTGACCTCGAAACATTGTACTAATTCGCTGCAAAATTTACTTTCAGTAATGTAAGTCTAATTTAATTTGTTCTGGCCAAACTCCTGGGGGAAGCAAGACTGTTTCACGAAGCCAGTTCACCTCTTGAGTGTGCCCTGCCTGGGGAGCACCTATCTGATTCTCACTCGGTCTTCTTTCACTTTTTACGTTATTATTTAGGTGAGTGTGTGAAAAGAAAAAAAAAAAAAAAAACCTTGAACTGGTCGAAAGGCGCTGTTTGCATGTATCCTGAGCTGGTTGAATTTGATAATTAAAGTTGTCAACCCTTTTTTTTTTGGACGCGGGATATTGCATAATGGCTACAAACAGTTGATCAAAATTGATGTGCGTATTCAAGTTAGCTTAACACTTTTTCCCTTCTTGTATACTCCCTCCGATCCTTAATATAATGTATTTTGATTTGTCCTAAGTTTCACCTAATACGCACTTTATATTAACAAAGAAATTCTTAAAAAAATTATTTTCACATTCCTTATATTCTCTTGATTGTTATAAAATATTTTTAATATGTTTTTTGCCAATTAAAAATGTGTACTAAGTGAAACTTAAGAAAAGTCAAAATGTCTTATAATAAAGAAAGGACCAGAGTGAGTACTTAATTTCGGAAATGATTAAAAAAAAGAAAAGAAAAAAAGGAAGAAGAAGAAAATCGACTCTTAATGTGTTTAGAAAGAAAAAAAAAATTACTCAACTAGGTATATGATCCAATCTACATAGTCCATCGATATTTCAAAACAAAAGCCATGTTTATTTTACTAAAAATAGTTTAACAAGCGAGACGTACTATTCTATTTTTAAAGATTATGTTCTCTGATTAGCATTAATGTTTAATACTTTCTCCTGTCCTCAATATAAAATATTTTGATTTCTCTTAAGTTCATTTTTTTAATCGTGTTTTTCTACTTGAAAATGAAATATTAAGAAAGATATATTATAATTGGGAGCATTCAACAAATATGAAAATTTATTTTTAAGATTTTATTTTCTAGTGGAAGAAATACAATGGATGAAACTTATAGCAAATTAAAATGACTTATAATAAGTACTGAAGGGAGTAAGATATATTGAAATCATGCATAACTATGCAATGTATATTGGCAAAGTTTGAGCGTTTCTTTAGTAATTAACAGAGTTAAAGTGTTTTGTTGAAGCCAAATTTCATTGTTTCCGTGTATGTTTATATTCCGTTAATTTCCGTAAGTTATCCACCGTATAACACTAGTTAGCTACGTCAAATGCTAAATTGTTTTCCACATCGTTCCGATACACGTACACACACAGTGGTCTACTATTTGATACAATGAACCACTTCTTAATCGTAAGCAAAGTTAAAGACGGTAGGTGATCATATCTTCGGGCAAGATTACCTAAGGTCGATGAATCATAACACTCATCACGTAAAAAATGATAGAACTATTTTGAGACATAGTACAAGTGCGCGCGCCATCTAATTTTTTAAGAATTCTAATTTCTTTATAAGTTTAGGTCAACTAGTTTCACCGTTACACATCAAAGACACCATCTGACTTTTGGTAATTAACTAAAAAACGAATTTAATTGACTTGAATAAATTATGTTTAATTCGACAAAACCTTGTATAAACTACTAGTATACGATACGGATAGATTATGATACCTTAACCACTAGCTTATATATATGAATGTGATCAATCATGAGAAGAGATTCTTTTCAATGCCTCATTGACTCATTTGTTTCTTGTTTTGCTATAATAACACATTTTACATCTAATCTAACTAAAATTTTTGTGGTATGTTCATTGGATGGTAAGGGTTGGTGAAATTCTCCAATAACAAACTGAACTAAAAGAGGGCGACATCCTAACCTACAAAACCCCGAGTTGAGCTGACAAAAAGACCAATGCCTATCATTTGTAGATTTAGCCAATGAAGGCAAGAGAAGAAGCTGCCGACCATAAAGATCCGAACCACTTTGATTAAGAAACATTCCTAATGAGAGGGTAGGTAAGTTCTGAAACATTATAGTATAAACTCCAATGATCTTTTTAGAAATTAAGAAACTTTTAGAGTTTTAAGTATATGAATCATCAAGTCAACACAATCGATTTTCGCAACCTTTTCCGGTTGAAGATGATGATTTGTCACACGGTCTATATCACTTGTAAGCACAAATCCATTTAAAAGAAAATGATGATATGTATGTAAAAGTGTATAAAAAAATGAAACTTATTAATATACATGTTAGTTTTTTTTTTTTTTTTTCCTTGAAGATGGAGTAGATGTTAGTATTCGTGTGGTAGAAACAGTTTTGTTATCTTGATATTAAAATTTTATGATTGTTATAAGTGTTGGACGATGATATTTTATGATTGGGCGCTATAAATTTTGACATCTGTCTTCAATGAAAAATTATAATTCGTGCATCTATTGATTAATATCTTTACTAGATTAGATGCATGTACGTCTGAAGATTTGTCTGTGAACACGATTTGGTTCATTTTCAAAACAAATAATAAAAAGCTTTTTCTTATGAGCAATAACGTAAGAATCTCTTCCACCGCCATAACATTCTGTTTATAATTTCGTTTAAAGTTTAAACTACTTATTAGTGTTACGGCTGGTTCAGTTCATAGAGACTAAGATCATAACTTGAAACCGAACAAGTTATATAAACACGGTTTGTGCTTAGATAAACACGCAAAGGAAGAAGGTGAAACATCCCATCCTTCCAACTTAAGAGGCATAGTGAGATATACAGAGAAGTGGTCAAGTGATTCTCCGTGCCTCTTATTTACTTGCAGTTTTAGGATACATCCACTTCTCCCTGTTCTTGTCTGTTTCAAAGTCTCAATAAACAAACAAACGAACAAAATCTCCCGAACAGTTTCTTATTAATTTCTTTATTTTTCGAGCTTCTCCCTATCCATCTTAAGCATTCGGCGATTATGAGAAAATAATATATCAGTGGACCAATCAGACACGTACAAATACAGTATTATGTTGAGAAGTAATATCAACATAAAACGTGAGTTTTTGGCCAATTTGAGGTGAACATAACTAACTTTTGTATCCATCCCTTGTGGTTAATGCTCGCTTGTTGCGATTCTTTTTTATATGAGATAACACCGTAAGTATGATGAGGGTGATGATTCGTGCAGGAGGGTTGGGCCGTTGGGGCATCTTAAAACTTTTGATCTGTTCTAGTTCAAGCTAGTCTCCACCTGTAGAATGTATCAAACTGATGCGTCGAGTTATTGAATTTCGATTTGAATCGCAATTTCTTGCACACTTAATTAGTTAAGCAACTGACTGAATGGGAGTATATTTCTTGCCTTGTTGAAGCGTTGCAGTATGGCACTAATGTTTTCTAAGTCAGTATGGTAATCCTCTAAATGAAATCGTCTGTTGTATTACTACTAGACTTCTCTCAAACGCGCCTCAACTCCTGCGCATCAGCAAAGAGCTTCTGAAACTTAATCAGGATCCAAGAGTTTCTATGGGCTATTTAGTTTGAAACTCTAGGACTCCTTTTGGGCAAATTAGTTTGGATGAGAGCTGTGCACTGTTTATACAGATCAGTAACCGATTGCCTCGTTCAGTTCTCAAAAAGAACGTCCCAAAAATGTTGTTTAAGCAGTGGAATTCTGTTTGTCAATAACATTTTTGAAAGAGTGGAATCTCTGAATAAATGATAAACAAGTGAAACTGATAATAGAGCCATCAAAATCATTCATTTAGAATCCGGAACATGGATCTCCACAACATAGATAAGAAAACTTAAAACCATCATGCAATGCAATTTAGAGACATCATTTTCATCATTTTTATACAGGTTGAGCAAGGATTATCAATCGCATTGACTAAACATCCAACAAGTAGATTTAAAGGAAGCTTCAGAACTTTACCCATCGATCCTTTCCTTTAAAGTTTAAACATGGAAACAGGCTTTCACATTCAAAATGGAAATAGACATACAGATGCACACAAATAAAATCAGGAAGATTCTAAACATGAGGTGAGTAATCTATGATACTTCTCAAGACACGAGGAAAATTTTGATCTTCGCTACTAAGTACCAACAACATAGTCGCATTTAAGGAGGATGAAAAGAAATATTGGAAAATAAGTTCATCGGAATGATCCTTCTTTGGCCTAAAGGAAGGTCTAACTTAATGAAACAAAACATCTGAGTGTAGTAGATAGAACACCAACTCTCTCCAAAAAACATAAATTTAAACCTTAATCGCATACTTTCTCATTGGGAAGTACATTTCTTTCTTCTTCTGCCTCTCTGTCTTCAAAGAAGCCTGCAAAATGCAACAGTAGCTTGAGCGCACACATTCAAACGCAATCAGTCCTGGGGTCTTCTACTACTAAAGAGAAAATGCATGTATGGATATCCAAACCACTATACACACCAATACAAACATCAAACATTGTATAAGCATTAAGCAATTCCAAACTCTTCTTTCAGAGTAGACAGCTATCCCACTATTTAAGATAGTATTCCATAATCAGGACCATGACGGGACAAAGCAAGACCAGAAAGTCAATGGAACAACATAAATGTTTACCAGTGGAACAAAGCCAATGATTACTTACATCTTAATCAGAAACTTCACACATATACGGACACATGCAAAAGTAAATGTAAATGTACATAAGTAAAAGTTCAGATAAATGGCCCCAAGTAAAACAATCTGAGTTTCCATTCAACTGCACCTCACTAAAACTATCTCACAATCACGCAATCAGCAACTTCACAAAAACGTACGGACATATGCAGAGGCACGAGAAATAAGAACAAGTCCAGAGACATGGTGCCAAATAAACAATCCAACTTTGTTCACTACACTTTACTAAAGCAATCCTACAGTGGCACATATGCACATATGCAGATGTGAATGTACATGATAACAGGCTCACGAAAATGAACCCAAGAAAACAATGCCAACTTACCATTTCACTGCACTTTGCCCAAACAATCCTACAATCACAAAACTTACAAGCTTAACATTGCCATTCATAGCAACGAGACATTGTCGGGTCTGTAACTACCTATCACGGGTTGATTAACAACAAATGCCCAATACATAAAACAAATTAATATTATATATATCATAGTAAATTCCTGAGCAATGCCTAATTTAAAGTTTTCAGTTTCAAAGAAAGACAGCAGAAAAATAAAATGACTAAATTCGAACATATTCGCACGACCCAACAAAGTAACCAGAAATTAGACAGAGAGTAACAATGAAAACCACAAAGCCCTTTCAATATAGCAGAAGCAGGGCATACCTGGTGCTTGGTAAGACGACGGCGGATGGCTCTGGTCTTCTTGGGGCGGAGGTCAAGAGGCAAATACTTCTTGTTCTTGTAAGCCTCCCTCAATGCCGCCTTCTGCTTCTGGGAAATCACGGTCAGCACTTGGGCAATTGACAAGCGTACAACCTTACTGCAACAAAACACAATCTGACCCAATTAATTCCCCCACTCATAATAAATCTCCATCAAAACAACAAACAAACGAGAAGCAAAGAAAAAATAGAAAAAAAAAAAAAAAGCATACATCTTGGAGAGCTTGTTTGGGGCGCCGCCGGTGACTTTAGCGACTCGGAGGAGGGCCAACTCAGCTTTGAGATCCTTAAGCTGAGCCAAAAGCTCCGTCTTTGTTTTCTGCCTCAGCTCGTGAACCTTGATCCGTGCTGTAATTCATTTCCCCATAAACAAAATCAACAACAAAAAGTCCAAATAAATCGAAGAATAAAGAAATTAAAGGTTAGAAACACGCAAAAAAGACTTTGCCGGATCGATAATCACTTACCCATGGCGTCTCCTGGTGCGAGTGTGTGACTGTGTGTTTCGTTTGGCGCCGAAGTGAACTCAACTTACGGCAGGGAAAAGATGTTTAATGGAGGAGGCTGAAAACCCTAGGGGAGAAGAAGAACTTAGATAGTTGTCATTTATTGGACTTCAGGTTTCGGCCCAAAATCAGGACGCTCATTTGGGCTTTTAAGAGCTGATGGTGAGGCCCATGTAGTGCGCTTTAATTTTTTTCGTCCGCGTGTCTCCTTGTTCAGCAAAAGAACAAGAATTTATCTTTAACATTTTTACAACTTAAGTGTGCTTGGGCGAAAGTAGTACTAGGATGGGTGACTCCTGGGAAGTCCTCGTGTTGTACCCCTTCCTCCTTTTGAATCAAAGTGATTGTGGTAGAGTGGAAGGGACTCCTCCACCCTTAACCATAGGTCGAGGGTTTGAACCTTATTATGGGCATGGAGCAACCTTAAATACTTTGGCCAGATATCCCACCCATTGAGGTGCTTACAATTTAGCGAAGGGGATTAGTCACTGTTGCCGATGATAGACACCCTGCAAATATAAAAAAAAAAAAAAAAAAAAATCATTTTTTCAACTTAAAAGGGCTCACATTTTTGTACCTCAACATGTATATATATGGTTTGGAGTGGCGTGCTGGAAATTGTGTAACTCAAGGAATGAGGAAGTTTTCAAATAATGATGTACATATCTCAACCTATGACTTTGAAATACACAATTCAAGCGTTTGTAAAGAAGTCTCCGTTCCAACTCGATTTTCGCTCAAAGGAACAGGGCCAGTCAAGCGGCAAATAGACAAAAAGCCTGGATTCCGCCTACGCCCAACACTATCAAAATCAACATAGATGGAGCTGCACACAGCAAGAAAAAGTTACAGCCAGTGGAGCTCTCCGAAACAGTGAAGGTGAATGGATTATTGATTTTGCTATTGATTTGGGATTTTGTTTTGTACTAGAATCGGAAATGTGGCCCTAAATATAGCCTGGGATTTTTAGGTTTTAGAAGTGTACAAGTAGATGTAGTTTTGTTTAAGGCAGTTGATCATTTGATGCCCGAAAGCTACTCGGTTGTAAACATTAACATCTTTCATAAAATTAAAGTGTTACTGGATCGCGACTGGACGGTAACTATTAGCCATGCTTGTCGTAACTCCAATAAAGTTGCTAACGGACTGGCCAAATTCGCCTACTCCTGTCCAGTCGGATTCCATGTCCTACTAACGCCTCTTTCAAAGATAAGAGGAGACTTAGAACTAGATAAGATAGCCATATCTCAGGCTTTAGGGATATGATGTAAACCTAAGTCATATATATATGGTTGGGGTAAAAATAGTAGAATATTGAGATTATAAATTATAATTTCGAATTTTCAAATTTGAATTTCGACAAGTGCACTCTAAAAAAGATCCATAAAATTGTTCACTCTTTTCTAGAAAAAATAATGAAAAATTTGAATAAGGAGCAGTGAAGAATAAATAATTAATAAGGATGGCAATACTTATGAATAATTTATATTAGAGGCACAACAATTTAACTACACAAGCATGACTTTCAATCTTTAACTATTAAAAAAAAATCTATTTACATCAATTTAAATACTTTGAAAGTTCTGAAAACTAAAGTGGTTACAAACCAAAAGAACTTATAGATACTAAGTAATTGATATTATTAAATCTAAAATTTTACTTACACAAAATATGGGAATGATTTTTTTTGACACATGGATAATTTAATTAACTCTAGTAAAATGTGTTGTATGTCTTTTTTAAGTACAAGTTCTGGGAGAAAAAATTCCATTAATGTTAAAGCAAACAAATTTTTTACTTGAAAAAAAAAATTAACATTATACCCCAAAAAAAGGAATCTCCTATCAAAAATTTAGAATCATTAACCTTTCCTTTTAAAGATAACATAATTATATATTTCCTCATTTAATACATTATTATTTTTCATATTGGTGTTAAAATATTATCATCATGAAAATATTTTATTTCTGTTTGGAAAATAAAATTAAAAAACATAGATTTCATTTCAAGAGTTAGAGTCATTATTATTTTTTATATTGGTGCTAAAATATTATCATCAAGAAAATATTTTATTGTGTTGAAAATGAAAAGGCATAGATTTTATTCAAGAGTTACAGTCATGTTTGTGTTGTTGAATTATTTCCCCCCTATTACAAGTTATTCAAGAGTTATTGCCCTCTTTATTAATTATTTACTTTCAGCTGTCCTTAATCCAAATTTTTCGAAAAATAATCCATATTGAGTTTTTAAATTTGTACTAAAAATAGTAAAAATCTCAAAACTTAATATGGATTATTTTTTCTTAAAGCGGATGGATTAATAAATGGTTTCTCCAACCTCAGCATTATAGTGGTACCTACACTTTTTTGATTGTATAATTGTATTACAATTTTACAAAGCAAAAACTTCAATAAATGATATGAGTCCATGCTCAATAGTTGATATAGATAATAATAAACTCTACTTTTTTTACTATTTTATCTAATTTCATTTCACCACTAGAGTCTGTAAACTTTTCCTTATATTTACCATGCATTCCTGAATTTTGAAGTGGATTACTCCCTCCGTCCCACAAAAATATCCAGTTTAATAAAAAAAAAGTTTGTCCCAAAAAAATAATTCAATTTCACAAAAGTCAAAATTAATTAAATTGAAATGACTTAAATATCCAAAAGAGTAGTGGTAAGGAAAAAATGTTCACTTCCTTTGATTTTCATTTTTTAAAGTTTTCTCTCATTTTTTCAAATAATTATATCATTTAATACATGAATAATTAAAAAATGTGTTATATATCAAATTAATCTACGTAATGAGATCTTTCCATCAAGATCCATTGTCAATATTTTTTGAGATAAAAATTTTAATCAAATTTAAGTTGTAAAATAAATGTATATGTAGTTAACTTTTATAAAAATAACTAGAAGTGGCATTAGTAGAAGTTAGGGGCATAAAATGAATTGTACATTTGGTGTGTTGACCAAATTAAAAAAGTTGTACATTTTCAAACTGGATTATTTTTGTGAGACAGAGGGAGTATATAAATAAAAGTTGTCCAAAAAAGTTACACATCAAAAGAACTCCCCAATTTTAGCGTGAGTGTTCTACCTTTAGTCATAGACATCTTTGAAGTGATTGTTATATTGAATCCGTACATGATTTACTGACTTCACATCTAAAATTTGTTACTCTGAAGTTATCTAACATAGTTAATTTACCTCAGTGTCATGTACAAACTATTACATTGAATTTGACTTTACCCATCCGTTGTGGGGTTACCATCTTTTAAAAGAAAACCAATTTTATCACAAAGCACTATGTATATACATTTCTATTGAGCGGTTACATTTTTCAGAGATAAATATTGACCCATTTGATAAATGACCCAACACAGTGGATCTTAGTACCTTTCGTGATTTCGTTTCGAAATAACAACATTGTTCAACAACCCCATCTTTTTTTAAAAAAAAAAAATTTAGTGTGCAAATGACCTATTATGTATGAAAACCAAGGGATGATGCCATCTTTTAGAATTAGCTTGATAATGAGATTGGTTTACCTGCTAAATTATATTCCAACTCAAGATTAGAATTGTCTCAATGCCAAATGTCCCTAATTCTTCTAAGGTAAAAAATTGGTGTAATAGAATCACTACACATCATGTGGTTATCAATAGGAGAGGTCGTAATTAGTTCTCTTGTTGTGTTGATCTCATTTGTACATATTGTAATGGGATAAGGAAGTGATATATACATACTTTTCTTAATATGGTAAGAGAATTAAGAGAGAGAACAATGTTTAATAAACTTGCGTTATTTAGATTGCCTTTCAAATCCAAAACCCAAGACAAAAATATTAGAGATCCCAAATACCCCTCCTCCGCCGCCCTCTCTCTCTCTCCAAACCTTTCAAACCCTAAAACAAAAACATCAATATTTTTCTCCATTTATCGACCATGAAAGGATGGGGGAAATAAGTTCGTTCCAATCTTTAGACTTTTTATTGTTTTTTAATTTGATGTTAAGTGAGATTATAATCTCATCTACTAGTTAGGTATCGCTACGACTTCCTTACGGATTTTCGCTAGTATGACGGTGGCTTCCTTGGTGAGCTCATCTAGTATGACGACAATTCTACTGGTGATGTTTTTAGGTATGGGGCGGTTTCATTGGAGTTTGCTCGTATGGCTCCAAAAGATTCAGTCATTGTCGCTCTAACTGTTAGATCTATGATTTAGGAGTTAGTGTTGTATATTTGACCGGATTGAAATCTAGCACGTGATACAACCATTGCTTGATAGGGTAGATCTATGTAGGTTTTTCCATATAAAACACAACAATGGTATCATAATTATGACCAATTGTAAGTTGTATTTTTTTGGTTGTATCTTTTTCTTATCAATCACTGTTGGATGATTTCTAATAAATCATTGTTGGTTGTATCTTTTTCTTATCTTTTATTTCTCAAAAAAAAGGACAAAAATGTTACAATTCGTCTAACTTCATATATATTTTAGTTTCAATTCTTCATACTTATCTCATCTTGGTCATTAGCACTTCTAAATCTCATTAAAAAAATGGTAATCGTACTTTACATGTGAGATTCTTCATATATTTGGTTTTTTCCACATGATGTTATTGGAAAAATACTAGAAGTTATGTTAAAGACAAATAGGGGGGAGTTCTGTCACGCAATGGGAGTCTTTATTCATTAGATGCCATGGAAAAGGAAGATGCATATACTAGAATATTTCTTTTTCTTTCGCTTTTTTCTTAGGTTTTCTTAGATATTGTTTCCACATTCTTGTGGCAAGGAAAATGTATTTTGATGCATGTTGTGTATTCCCCCTGCTTCAAAATGATTAGGGCTGCTAATTCGGGCGGTTCGGGTGAATTTGTTTTCGGTTAATCGGACTTTTTTCCCTTCACAAACCCGCCCAAAACCGAATCAGACAGTATACATCTCCAAACTGAACCGTTCAATTTAAAATTCAGATTAATCGGTTCGATTTTCAGGTCAACCGAATTGAACTAGACAGAAATGAGACTTAGCCTATTTTTCT